GTGTGTGTGTTGAAAACCCTTTTATGCAGCTGAGTGCTAGTAAACGTTTCACAACAGGTTACTGGGGAAAAGAGCCCTGATTGTAACATTTGCCAATTTCTGTGGTCCCATCACCGCTGATTTCAAGCTGACAACCTGATGTCACTGACACAAGGTGGGAAGAGTTCACAATTGCTATCCCAAGCTGGTGTAAACTGGCTCCAACACACTACTGCTTTCATGAGTCATAACTAATAAATCTATTGAATACTGGAATGCCATATTTGGAAATCCATGTGTCCTGGACATTCTTTGAGCTGTTCTTTGTAAAATTTCTCATTTATAGAGATCTTTTCCTTTTTTCTTAGCATTTGCATGTATTTCAAGAACTGAAAGTTGGCAGATATAGGTAACTGAATAAAGGAGGTGAAGAAGTCAGAGATGATCATAGGTGCTGGAAAGGTGGTGGAGCACTGACAGAAACAGGAGGGAAGATGGTGGAGCTGATTGGGAACGAGATGAAGAGGTGGTCCCTTTGCTTTCCTATGATGAGGACATATCCTATTTGGAGAGCTGGGGATGCAGTATTGAACAGAAGGTTAGAGACTGTTCCTGGAGATAGAGAATCACTTGTAGAAGTTACAGACAAGGTCAGGACACAGAATCAACTAGGGAGGAAAAATGTAGTGATGGAAATCAAAGAATCAAATATTTACCCTTTTGGAGATTTGGAAGAAAGCAAATCAATAGAAAAGATGCAGTTGGGGAAGTAGAAAAAATAAAAAACACCAAGAAACACCACGAAGGTAGACAAAATGGTCAAATGCTCCACAAACTATAGAGAATAAAGAATGAGGAGAGGCTATTGGATTTTCAGTCAAGGGACAGAGACACCAAACAAGCTTCAGGGAGTGTATGGGTCACAGAAATCCACCATTTGGGAAGATTGCCCCACATATGAGTCAATGCTCCTTTCTTATAACTTGACAGGCAGTGTAAGAATTGAATTTCTGCCTAAAACTTGATTCAGGTCTAAGGAATCAAGGAAAACTAACAAGCCAAACAAAAAAAAAAAACAAAAGCCAACCATGCCACGAATAGAGCTAGTGTTGGGGAGAGAGGACTATTCCAGCTGCAGGCCAAGAGGCCTGGCTTGGTGAAAAATGGAATTCTGGCATGGTTTCTCAGCCTTTCTGGATCCAGGGTGAGTGGCCAGTTTCAATGTGGAAGATCCAGAACCAGTTTCAAGGTGGTTCTCATCCAGAACCACAAGATGGATGGCTGCCCCCAAGTGAGCCATCCCATGGCAGAGGGACTAGTCTGGCAGAAATCTTTAGGGAGGGTGGCAATTTGGTGTCAGAGTCTCTGCCAAAACAAAGCAACTCTGAAACGAGAGGAAATTTCAACAAACAGGAGAAAAGCTGAACCCAGGAGGAAGCCCAAACTGCTGGGCAACATGTGTGCCTGACTGGCCCCAAGTCTGAACGTCAGATTTGGTTCCAAAGGCCAAGGCTCGCTCTGCCTTCCTGCACATGTGTGCACACCTGCTCCTCCTCCCAGAGGGAGGTTTCCTAGAGATGTGGTCTTGGCTGGGAGCGGGAAAATGTCTTGACTGTGCTTGAGCCGACCTCCTGGAGTACGCACAAGCTTGCTCTTGCCCTGATGAATGGCTGCCCAGGATACCTGCCTCAGGTCCAACCCAGCTCACGTGGGTAACCTTCTTTTTTTGTCTCCTCTTGTTTTTGCCAGCAAAAACTCTTCCAATGAATGATTTGCTTCTCCTGTGTTAGCAGGCCTGGGCTTTTCTGAAGATCACCACTTCAACACCACTCTGCATTTCCCCTGACTTTGCAAAGACTCTTGAGGAAGAGTATTTACCAGCTCAGAGGTCTGTAGGGCCCAAGGACCTGTCAGTGATCTCATAGCCATTTGCCTCAAGGACACTATAAGCCAGACGGGAAGACCATATGAATGCTCAGGAAGTAGCTACCCATTGAAACACAATAAAAATTCAGGTCACTGTAAGTTAAAACTAGGAAATGCTGCATGATTTTAGGGAGTAGAAGACTTCACAGAGGAAGGAAGCTTAGAGCTGGATCCAGGATTTGGGAGCAATGACAAGAGCAAAAACACAAAGGTAAGCACGAGTCAACACGGCGACGGGTGGTGCTTTAGTGATACATAACCAGCAACTGCAAATTCAGTGATTCACAGAAAGAAAGGACAGCGGAGGAAAGCAATGACGTCACCACCAGTCTCTACTCTAAAAGGCCAGTGGGAAGAGTGTGTTCCAGAAGACAGGATGCAACAGTGAAGGCCTGTTTGTTCTTAGAGACAAGAAGAAAAGAGAGAAGCAGAAAGCAGTATTGTAGAGCACGGCAGGGATTCTAGGTGCTCCCTGGTTGCATCCAGAAACCAGGTGCCTGGTCTCTCCACCACCCCTGCTTACTCCCTGTCCTTCCCTTTTCCGGCCTCTTCCCCTTGGGTTACGGTAGCACTTGCTCACAGAAGTCATTTCCCAGAGCCATCCCTACCTTGGACACACTTAAGGGCTAAGCAACCATCACAGGATGAGGGGCAGGCAGGGAAATGCTTCTCAAACTGTAATGTGCCTTACAACACCTGGGGATCTTGTTGAAATGCAGATTCTGATTTCTTAGGTCTGCGAGGGACGTGAGAGTCCTCATTTCTCATGAGCTCCCAGCTTCTAAAAAGATGCCCATTTGGCTGGTCCCTGTGTCACACTTAGCGTAGCAGGGCGATAAGTATTCACAATGCCAAGAGTTCTCTCCACAAATGCATGGTCCTTCCCTCCCTGCAGCTCTGTCCCTAACCTTGTAGAGACAGTAACTGGATCCTTCCCCTCCTCTGACAATGGGGAGTGTCAAGACTTCACTTCTGGGGGCTTATCTGGGTGGCTGGGATAAATACTGCCTCCCCACTAGCCTACCCAAGTGCCCTCCAGTCTAACACCTTTGTCCATTTCCCCTTGTCTGACCCAGTCCCAAAGGAATGCTTCTGCCTTGAGACCTCTACTGTTCCATGTGTACATAGGAGGGGAAATAAAGCAAACCAGCTTGCACACAAGGCTCCCCAGGGCAGAGTTCTACCTGTCCTTCCCCATCCCTAGCCTAGGTAGGATGTCTCACCTGGGGAGGCAAAATCTCTTAGTCCAGGCCCTGACTGTAAGAGGAAACAGTTCTCCTGTCCCTCAGTCACTGACCTGTAGTGTGGCAACTTACTGGGGAGAGTCTTGGCCACCAGCACTGGCTCTAGCTCCTTGTGAGTTGGACAGAGGGAGTGGAGCATGGTGGATGGATCCTGGGGGCTCTGCAGACCCTGGAGAGATGGGTTCATTTCTTTTCTTGAGTATTTTCTGAGGGTTTGGGGAAACATTTATGTAGACCCTAGTGGTCTGGATGAGGAGCATGACCTGTGGCTTGTCAGTTAAGACGGTTTTCAAATACTAGCACATAATTGAGCTAGACAAACAGTTAAACTAGGAAAAATATAAAGCTGGAGAACATCCAGCAGGAGTACTATCAATCCAACCTACGCCAGGAGAATGTGGACTTTCCCTCAGCTGTTTCCAGACTGATATCTCACATTATCCCCACAACAACCACTGCATTAAAAGAAAGGAAAATGGGGGCTCAGACAGGTTAAGTATATTGAACAAGGTCACTCAGCTTGCAGGCATTACAGCTGGGATTCCAGCAAGGGTCTGTTCGGCTCAAAAGCCCTTGCTCTTGCATGAAAGACATGAGCGTACACTCTTTATACTAAACTTGGGTCACACAGACTTGGGTTTGAATCCTAGCTCTACCCTTGGGAAAGTTACTGAATCTGAATGCACCTCTGTTTTCTCATCTGTAGAAATGGAGACAACATCCACTTCCAGGGCTGTTGTAGGATGAGATGAGAGCAATAGGTTCTGACTGTGCCCAGCACTGAACTTAGGACTCAGAAAAGTTCATTAACATCAGTTATTGCTCTTTCTTATTTCTGACGTTAGATTGTTAGACTGCCTCTCTACCCGCAAAAGATACCCACTTGGAGGCAGTGATTGGAGGTTCTGGGTCTCTGATCACATGCCTCAACTACCTGCTTCAGAATCTATGCTAAGACCTCAGCCTGTAAAAGTTAAGGATGCAGCAAGACTGGAGAAAAGGGCTGGCATATGAGTACCATCAGTTTGAGGAAGCCCCTGCAAGAAACTCTGGGGAACAATAAGACCTATAGGAGATCCTGAGCAAGCAGGTGACTTTATGGACCAGTGATGGAAATACTGCGGGATATTAGGTGGTTTGGAGATGGGAGAGTGATACAGAGGCAGGGAATCACGTGGGCAGTGCAATATAACAGAGAGAACCCTTGGAATAAAGTCAAAAGGCCTGGATTCTGCTCCTACGTTGCCAGCTGTGGGAGCTTAGGCAGCTTATTTCAGCTATTTGGGTTTAATTTTCCCCATCTGAAAAATAAGACATTCCTACTAGACTGTGTTAAGTCCTGCCAGCACTAAAATGATACATTAGAATTCTGCTTATTGCAATTAATTTGACCTTGAGATGATAAAGGGTAAAATTAGCAGTAGTATCAATAGAATGTAGAGCAAGTAAAGGTATGGAAGATGTTCAGAAAGTTGAAATGACAGGGTTTAATAAATAATCTCAAATGCGGAGACATAGGGAAGAGAAGAACCAAACTGATTTTGAGTTTATCCTGGGATGCGATGACTTTGATAGTTCCAAAAGAAGGGGAGAAATGGGATTTGGTCTAGGAGAAAGGTGATGAGCACAGTTTCAATGATACTGAGTCAAAACTGAAAACGAACCAAGCGTGGGCCTGGACCAGGGCACTTGCACAGCCCGAGAGGGAACCAGCGCCTCCCGGAATTTGGCGCCCGAGGCAATTGACTCACCTCACACTAGTCCCAGCTCTAATCTTGTGGAGGAAATATTTAGAGGCTGACACAAAGGAGGGCAAAAAGAAGGGACTGCAAGGATGGGAATGGCCCTTACCTTTGACCAGTCTCCCACAGTCAAATGTGGAGGACAGTCTGTTCTGGCACAGGACTTATGAGAAGATGCCTTGGGTCCTTGGCACAATTCATCTGAGAGATTCAAAAAGCTGCCATCTGTTAACAGCTGCCGACAGGTGACTCTTCGATTCTGAGTTCCCCCACCACATGTCCTGGAACACTAAGAAGAGGGAAGGAAGCGAGTCAACGGGTTTGGCCTGCTTCGTATTAGTGCAACGCAGGGCTCTTACAATCACAAGCATGGTGGGCTGAGGAGTCATCAGTCTGCCATACCTGCTGCCATTCTTCAATGTGCCAGCTGGGAGGACAATCAAACTGACTGCATGCTTGTAAGGCATGGGGTTTTCCCTCTCTGCATTCCTCAGGAGGGGAGGGCGATTCCCCGGGGTGCAGGCAGTACACATCTCGGGTCTGGATTCCAACACCACAGGTAGCTGAGCAGGGCCCCCAAGAGCCCGTGTGCCACCTGTACCAAAAAACAAATGGGAAAGTTGAACTGTCCAAGGAAACTGCGAGCCACAGTCAGAGCATGGGTAATTTTAAGTTTTTCTCTGGACTTCCAGACTTCACACTCCAGATATAGATCCTAGAGCTGCAGTCTCTCCCTCAATATATACAATTAAAACACAGAAATATAATGTTTAAAGGCAAGAAATGTCAGGAAAATGTTTAAAGATTTTACCCATTTGGGAAAGTCCACAGTAAAAAAGAAGCAGATTTCTCCCCATCCTAAACCCACCATCACATATCAATAATAAAATCTTGGTTTTGTTTTGAATAGAGCCCCAAGGCAAGGATGATTTATATAGGTGTCAAAATAAATTTTAAAATGCTTAAAAGCACACTTCAGGAAATTTTCAGGGCACCTGGATTCGCTATTTGGAATATCCCTAAGAAAATTCTTTTATGTTAGGATTGGATTTACAACACATATATATAATGTGATTCATTGCCAATAAGATCTTGGAAAAATCAGGTTTTTTCATGAAACATCTGTAAAAATGAAAAACCAGGGCAGCTGCTTTTGATACATATTTCCAAGTTCCCTTCAAGGAAGATTCTCTCAATTCGCACTCCCACTGGAAGCCTATGAGAGTGGCTAGTTTCCTACGCCCATACCAACACTGGACAATATCATTTTAAAAAGTATTTGCCCATCTGATGGGGGGAAAATTGTGTATTATGATTATTTTAATTTGTGGATATTTATTAGTTAACATGAATTTTTAACTAGGTACTGTAGAGATATACCATGAAGAAGCAATTTTAAAATGCTTAAAATGTACACAAAAGATGTTTCTCCAAGGTAGTTTGTAATAGCAAAAAAAAAATTTTAATTATATTTTACAAAATGGAAGGAGGCAATCTAAATGTTTAACAATAAAAGGCAAAATAAATACTTGTCTATTCATACAGCACAATGCTAGCAGCCATTAAAATAATAAAGTAGGTATATAGTTATTGATAAAGATATATGTTCAAGATATACTTTTATTAGAAAACAGGTGATAAAATATCTCATCGAGTATAATCATATAGTTTTATGCATTTATAAATGCATGCAGAAAAATGTCTGGATAATTGTATATCGAAATCTTAACAGTGGATGATCTCTAAGTTATAGGATTTTTATTTTCTTTATTCTTGCCAGTATTTTTTTCTAATTTTCTCTTAATAAACATTAATTATCAGAAAAAACAAGTTAGTTCTTTGAAAAAAAATAGTGTTTGTCTGAAGGTGATTTTCAGTTCTAATTTCTCGTTTTCCATAATAAACATGTTTTACTTCTGTAAATAAGAGGAAAAATGAAAAAAAAAAAGAATATTCAAGACAAATATAACAGGACAAAAGAGTAAAATTTTTATTTATGAAGGCAAAAGTTCACAATGAAAATATAATAATCATACAAGTACGGAGAGTGAATAAAAAGGATAAATATATAGAAAGCACAAGCTATTAGATATAAGAAAAATGGAAGGATATATAATAAAACATTTTAAAAGTTGTAAAATAGTTCTCTAAGCCCCTGGCATATCACAAAGACAAACTTTAATACAAATGAAGAGAATTTAATATTACATTTGAAAATCTTGACGAAATAGATAACATTTTACAAAACTATAAAAAGTTCTATTTGAGAAAGGGACTAGATGCTGCTAATTTTGTGGTTGAGTTCCTACAAATTTTCAAGAAACAAGTGAATTCCCATGTTATTTAAAATGTTCCAACGTGAAAAAGAGGATTAAGATATTTTAATGCATATTCGGAAGCAAGGAAAAACCTGAGCACAAAATCTGACAAATATATAGAAAAAAATTTTTTTACATATGATTATATATTCTAAATCCTAAATAAAAGAGAAGTATAAATCCTAAATAAAATAGAAGCAAGTTAATCAAAGGATTAAAATAACACACAGTACAGGCTGTGGACTGAATGGTCACATCCTTCCCTGAATTCATATGTTGAAGATCTCATGGTCACTGTGATGGTATTTGGAGATTAGGTATTTGGAAGGGAATTAGGGTTAGATGAGGTCATAAGGGTGGAGCCCTCATGATGGGATTAGTGCCCTTATAAGAAGAGAATCCAGAGAGCTTGCTCTCTTTCTCTCTCTCCACCATAAGAGGACACAGCAAGAAGGCAACTTTCTGTAAGCCAGGAAAAGAGCTCTCATTAGGAACTGACCCCTGCCAGCACCTTGATCTTCAACTTTCCAACCTCTAGAACTGTGAGAAAAACAAATTCGTTGTTTAAGCCACCCAGTCTATGGTATGCTGTTATCACAGCCTGAGCTGACTAATGCAGTATGTTTTCTGACCACAGTGGAGCTATATTAGATAATCCCTAAACATTCAGAAATTATGCAATAATCTTCTAAATTACTCATGGGTCAAAGAAGAAATCATAATGGAAATTAGATAGTATTTTTAAATGCATGTTAATAAAAATATGAAATGTCAAAATCAGTGGAAGGCAGCTAAAGCTTTAAATGCATATATTAAAAAGAAAGGACTGGTGTCAAGATGGCAGCATAGGCGGACTCTGAACTCACCTCCTCCCACGGACACAACAGACTTACAACTAATCTTGGAAGAATTACCCCTGAGAGAGAACTGAAAACCGGATAAGAGGAACCCCTGCAACACATGACAGTCCTGACTGAGGTGGAATAGACAGAAATTCCCTTCTGGAGAGAATAAAAGCCACCTTCACAAGCCACAGTGCCTCACAGCCACCCAGGAGCAATCCAAAGGTACATAACCTTCCCTGGAGAAGTGGGGGACTGAGGGGGGGGACTGTTGCCGCTAAAAGCATTTTTTGGACCCAGCACAACTGAGATGAGTGTCATAATATCTGGCTTTGCTGGTGACTAACAACAATGAGGAATACCCCCAGAAAAGCTATTGGACATAAGAAAAAAAATTAAGCAAGCTCTTAAAGGGCCCACCCATAAATTGACCCATTTCGGAAAGCTACCTAAAATCACCAGAAAGAAAGGTGCACAGTCCTTTGGTGAAAAGAGACTCACCTGATAGGCTCCAGGTGCATCTTGGTGAGAAGTGAGACCTCTCCAGGACTGAGACGTTGGCAGCAGCCATTGTTGTGACCTAGAGCAGGCGTGCTGACACAGTCGTTGGCAGACACCATTGGAGTTCTCCCTCTGGGCTCTCCACCCAGGGTCTGCCCCACCCACTAGAGCACCAATTTAATACAGCTCATCCAGGGCAAGTGGCCCACCCTAGGGACTGGCCCCACCCAACAACAATCCTCGGGCAACTTGTGGGCCTGCATAGGATAGGTGCCTGGATTCTCTGCAGCCTGGCAAGTGGGTCCACCTATGTGTGGCAGGGCATGGGTGAGGAGCAGGTGGAGTGTGTGGGGTATGGGGGGAGTGTGTGGGGCCTCTGTCATGGGGAAACTCGGTCCACTTGAGGGGGTCTGGGCGTGTGCACAGGGCAGGACTGTGTCGATGGTGTGTGTGGCCCAGTGGGCGGTGGGGTTTGTCACCTGCAGAAGACTTGTGTTTCTCAAACAGCCACATAGGGGATCGGCCCCACCTTCCAAAGCCTGAAACAATTGAGTGCTCCCCTGCCTGGGGCCAGCCCCTACCAGCTGCAATCCTGAGAGCTGACAAGAGCCTTATAAACCGGAGGCCTACAGCAATTGTAAGCACCTGAGCCTAACATCCAGCCACAATGGGAGCAGCCTACTCACTTAACAGAAAAACTGCAACAGGAATGTGCTATTGGACCTTGCAGCCAACTGTGCTGTGGCTCCCCACACCCGATAAAGAGACTGAAGGGACCACAACACGTACATGCAGATGAGCCTTACAATCAATGGGCCAGGAGCACAGCTCAGCTCCCTGGACACCTATGGCAACAGCAACCCCGCCACAACAGAAGGACATATGTAGCTGATACAAGGGTCACTCCTGGAACATTTGAGATTGGTGACAAGAGGGAAGCACACTGCTGGGCCTCATAAGGCATCACTTATATAAGGTCACGTCTCCAAGATCAGGAGATGTAGGTAATCTATCTAATACACAGACACAAGCACAGGGAAAGAGGCAAAACAAGGAAGCAAAGGAATACATTCCAAGTACGAGAACAGCACAAAACCCCAGAAAAATAACTAAATGAAACAGAAATGAGCAATCTACTGTAAAGAGTTCAAACAAAGAATCATAAGGATGCTCACTGATCTTGGGAGAAGAATGGATGAACTCAGTGAGAATGTCAACAAAGAAATGGAAAATATGAAAAATAACTGATCAGAAATGAAGAATACAGTACTGGAAATGAAAAATTCACTAGAAGGACTCAAAAGCAGAGTAGAGGATACAGAAGAATGGATCAGCGAGCTGGACAAAAGGCTAGAGGAAATCATGCAAGCTGAACAGGTAAAAGAAAAAAGAATTAAAAGGAGTGAGGACAGTCCAAGAGACCTCTGGGACAACATCAAGTGCACTAACATCCATATGATAGGTGTCCCAGAATGAGAAAACCAAGGGGCAGAGAATCTATTTGAAGAAATAACAGCTGAAAGCTTTCCTAACGTAAGGAAGGAAACAGACATCCAAGCACAGGAAACAAAGAGAGCACCAAAAAAGATAAACATAAAGAGGCCCACACCAAGACACATAATAATTAAAATGACTAGAATTAAAGATAAAGAGAGAATCCTAAAAGCTGCAAGAGAAAGGCAACAAGTTACATACAACAGAAACCCCATAAGGCTATCAGCTGACTTCTCAGCAGTAACCTTACAGGCTAGAAGTGAGTGACACAATATATTTAAAATGCTGGAAGGAAAAAATCTATAGCCAAGGATACTCTACCCAGCAAGGTTATCATTCAAAATGGAAGGAGAGATAGAGATTTCCAGACAAGCAAAAATTAAAAGATTTTATCACCAAGAAACCACTCCTACAAGAAATACTAAAGGAACTTATTTAAG